CCGGGAGCGGGTAGCTGGGTGGGCTGGCGATATATATATATATATATATATATATATATATATATATATATATATATATATATATATATATATATATATATATATGCGAACAAGCCTGAATGGTCCCCAGGACTATATGCGAATGAAAACTCACACCCCAGAAGTGACTCGAACCCATACTCCCAGAAGCAACGCAACTGGTAACTACAGGGCGCCTTAATCCGCTTGACCATCACGGCCGTCAAAAGGAAGTGATAGCCGAGGCTATTTGAGCCACTTCCCCGACGGCAACTCGGATGGTAATCTTGGGCATAGCATTTCACCAAATCACCTCATTCTTTGGGGCACACGTGAGGAACACAAATGCGAACAAGCCTGAATGGTCCCCAGGACTATATGCGAATGAAAACTCACACCCCAGAAGTGACTCGAACCCATACTCCCAGAAGCAACGCAACTGGTAACTACAGGGCGCCTTAATCCGCTTGACCATCACGGCCGTCAAAAGGAAGTGATAGCCGAGGCTATTTGAGCCACTTCCCCGACGGCAACTCGGATGGTAATCTTGGGCATAGCATTTCACCAAATCACCTCATTCTTTGGGGCACACGTGAGGAACACAAATGCGAACAAGCCTGAATGGTCCCCAGGACTATATGCGAATGAAAACTCACACCCCAGAAGTGACTCGAACCCATACTCCCAGAAGCAACGCAACTGGTAACTACAGGGCGCCTTAATCCGCTTGACCATCACGGCCGTCAAAAGGAAGTGATAGCCGAGGCTATTTGAGCCACTTCCCCGACGGCAACTCGGATGGTAATCTTGGGCATAGCATTTCACCAAATCACCTCATTCTTTGGGGCACACGTGAGGAACACAAATGCGAACAAGCCTGAATGGTCCCCAGGACTATATGCGAATGAAAACTCACACCCCAGAAGTGACTCGAACCCATACTCCCAGAAGCAACGCAACTGGTAACTACAGGGCGCCTTAATCCGCTTGACCATCACGGCCGTCAAAAGGAAGTGATAGCCGAGGCTATTTGAGCCACTTCCCCGACGGCAACTCGGATGGTAATCTTGGGCATAGCATTTCACCAAATCACCTCATTCTTTGGGGCACACGTGAGGAACACAAATGCGAACAAGCCTGAATGGTCCCCAGGACTATATGCGAATGAAAACTCACACCCCAGAAGTGACTCGAACCCATACTCCCAGAAGCAACGCAACTGGTAACTACAGGGCGCCTTAATCCGCTTGACCATCACGGCCGTCAAAAGGAAGTGATAGCCGAGGCTATTTGAGCCACTTCCCCGACGGCAACTCGGATGGTAATCTTGGGCATAGCATTTCACCAAATCACCTCATTCTTTGGGGCACACGTGAGGAACACAAATGCGAACAAGCCTGAATGGTCCCCAGGACTATATGCGAATGAAAACTCACACCCCAGAAGTGACTCGAACCCATACTCCCAGAAGCAACGCAACTGGTAACTACAGGGCGCCTTAATCCGCTTGACCATCACGGCCGTCAAAAGGAAGTGATAGCCGAGGCTATTTGAGCCACTTCCCCGACGGCAACTCGGATGGTAATCTTGGGCATAGCATTTCACCAAATCACCTCATTCTTTGGGGCACACGTGAGGAACACAAATGCGAACAAGCCTGAATGGTCCCCAGGACTATATGCGAATGAAAACTCACACCCCAGAAGTGACTCGAACCCATACTCCCAGAAGCAACGCAACTGGTAACTACAGGGCGCCTTAATCCGCTTGACCATCACGGCCGTCAAAAGGAAGTGATAGCCGAGGCTATTTGAGCCACTTCCCCGACGGCAACTCGGATGGTAATCTTGGGCATAGCATTTCACCAAATCACCTCATTCTTTGGGGCACACGTGAGGAACACAAATGCGAACAAGCCTGAATGGTCCCCAGGACTATATGCGAATGAAAACTCACACCCCAGAAGTGACTCGAACCCATACTCCCAGAAGCAACGCAACTGGTAACTACAGGGCGCCTTAATCCGCTTGACCATCACGGCCGTCAAAAGGAAGTGATAGCCGAGGCTATTTGAGCCACTTCCCCGACGGCAACTCGGATGGTAATCTTGGGCATAGCATTTCACCAAATCACCTCATTCTTTGGGGCACACGTGAGGAACACAAATGCAAACAAGCCTGAATGGTCCCCAGGACTATATGCGAATGAAAACTCACACCCCAAGATATGCCCAAGATTACCATCCGAGTTGCCGTCGGGGAAGTGGCTCAAATAGCCTCGGCTATCACTTCCTTTTGACGGCCGTGATGGTCAAGTGGATTAAGGCGCCCTGTAGTTACCAGTTGCGTTGCTCCTGGGAGTATGGGTTCGAGTCACTTCTGGGGTGTGAGTTTTCATTCGCATATAGTCCTGGGGACCATTCAGGCTTGTTCGCATTTGTGTTCCTCACGTGTGCCCCAAAGAATGAGGTGATTTGGTGAAATGCTATGCCCAAGATTACCATCCGAGTTGCCGTCGGGGAAGTGGCTCAAATAGCCTCGGCTATCACTTCCTTTTGACGGCCGTGATGGTCAAGCGGATTAAGGCGCCCTGTAGTTACCAGTTGCGTTGCTTCTGGGAGTATGGGTTCGAGTCACTTCTGGGGTGTGAGTTTTCATTCGCATATAGTCCTGGGGACCATTCAGGCTTGTTCGCATTTGTGTTCCTCACGTGTGCCCCAAAGAATGAGGTGATTTGGTGAAATGCTATGCCCAAGATTACCATCCGAGTTGCCGTCGGGGAAGTGGCTCAAATAGCCTCGGCTATCACTTCCTTTTGACGGCCGTGATGGTCAAGCGGATTAAGGCGCCCTGTAGTTACCAGTTGCGTTGCTTCTGGGAGTATGGGTTCGAGTCACTTCTGGGGTGTGAGTTTTCATTCGCATATAGTCCTGGGGACCATTCAGGCTTGTTCGCATTTGTGTTCCTCACGTGTGCCCCAAAGAATGAGGTGATTTGGTGAAATGCTATGCCCAAGATTACCATCCGAGTTGCCGTCGGGGAAGTGGCTCAAATAGCCTCGGCTATCACTTCCTTTTGACGGCCGTGATGGTCAAGCGGATTAAGGCGCCCTGTAGTTACCAGTTGCGTTGCTTCTGGGAGTATGGGTTCGAGTCACTTCTGGGGTGTGAGTTTTCATTCGCATATAGTCCTGGGGACCATTCAGGCTTGTTCGCATTTGTGTTCCTCACGTGTGCCCCAAAGAATGAGGTGATTTGGTGAAATGCTATGCCCAAGATTACCATCCGAGTTGCCGTCGGGGAAGTGGCTCAAATAGCCTCGGCTATCACTTCCTTTTGACGGCCGTGATGGTCAAGCGGATTAAGGCGCCCTGTAGTTACCAGTTGCGTTGCTTCTGGGAGTATGGGTTCGAGTCACTTCTGGGGTGTGAGTTTTCATTCGCATATAGTCCTGGGGACCATTCAGGCTTGTTCGCATTTGTGTTCCTCACGTGTGCCCCAAAGAATGAGGTGATTTGGTGAAATGCTATGCCCAAGATTACCATCCGAGTTGCCGTCGGGGAAGTGGCTCAAATAGCCTCGGCTATCACTTCCTTTTGACGGCCGTGATGGTCAAGCGGATTAAGGCGCCCTGTAGTTACCAGTTGCGTTGCTTCTGGGAGTATGGGTTCGAGTCACTTCTGGGGTGTGAGTTTTCATTCATATATATATATATATATATATATATATATATATATATATATATATTATATATATAATGAGTACTACCATCTGGGTCCCCAGTTTGCAGGTGTTTGTTGCCCCGGTTCCGGATGTTATGGCGTCCCCGGTGGATGGACGGGACCCTTGGCGATGGGTGCTCTGGGAAGAGTTCAATGTACGGTTCCCGTGGGCCAGGTTCCCAGGCAAGTATGTACACTGATTTCCTGTGCAATTGCTCTATGACATGCTGTGTTCCCCTCTGGCTGTTTGTTTGCCCTCTTATATTATGTGCTTCTGCTTCTCCCTTTGTGCGTTTCTTTGCCGTGTGGCATATTAGTTTCAAGTGCTTGGCATCACTTGTTTCGCGTTTTGGCTTGGCGTTTCGCCTTTCCTGGCTTCGTGATTCACCCTTCACGGGTACGCCGGGGCGCATCCAATCCCACGATCGTCGTCGCCCCTAACTCAACAACAACAACATATTAATATACGAAAGTACTTAAGGAAATTCCTGTTTCAATTCTTCCTCCGTGGTCTGTATATATATATATATATATATATATATATATATATATATATATATATATATATATATATATATATATATATATATATATATATATATATATATATATATATATATATATATATATATATATATTATATATATATATATAGGCACATGTTCAATCCAGGTAAAATAACGAACTGCAATATTTAATACAGATTTAATGTACTGAAATATAAAATATGTATAAAAACTCTTCCCGTTCTTCTCTCACTAACGCAGAAAGAAGCATCGTTTCAACAACACAAATACGCCGAGTCATTCCTCAGAGCAATGTAAATAAGTTTGTTGAGAGAAGAAAGCATAATAAACGCGATTATTTGTGTAGCAGCGATGCTAGAGGGAGCGAAATAGTCTCCCCTACCCCACTCCCTCTCTCTCTCTCTCTCTCTCTCTCTCTCTCTCTCTCTCTCACTAATTACGGCTCCACGGAAAATCTTGTATCCTCACATGCTTGCAGCATTTGTTCTGTTATTGCCTCAATTCCAACATTAAAAATATATTTACTTTTAGCAAGAAAAATAATTTTGTTTCATTTAATTTCTAGTTTTCTCGGCGCTCCAGAGTTAAAGTATAGAACAAATGTGCATTATAGATTGTCATGTGCACCCAGGTATCATATGAGGTGCTCCTCATGAACTGGCTACATGTCATCTTCACTTTCTTAGAAATACAAAGATTTTAATATAATTATTGTTTCAACATCACTAAGTTGTCTCATATGGACACCTTAGGAATGCAAATGTTTCCCGTACTGTCCGGAGTGTCCGTACTGCCCGGGGTGTCCATACTGCCCGGGGTGTCCGTACTGTCCGGAGTGTCCGTACTGCCCGGGGTGTCCGTACTGCCCGGCGTGTCCGTACTGTCCGGAGTGTCCGTACTGCCCGGGGTGTCCGTACAGCCCGGGGTGTCCATACTGTCCGGAGTGTCCGTACTGCCCGGGGTGTCCATACTGCCCGGGGTGTCCATACTGTCCGGGGTGTCCATACTGCCCGGGGTGTCCATACTGCCCAGGGTGTCCGTACTGCCCGGGGTGTCCATACTGCCCGGGGTGTCCATACTGCCCGGGGTGTCCATACTGTCCGGAGTGTCCATACTGTCCGGGGTGTCTATACTGTCCGGGGTGTCCATACTGCCCGGGGTGTCCATACTGCCCGGGGTGTCCATACTGTCCGGGGTGTCTATACTGTCCGGGGTGTCCATACTGCCCGGGGTGTCCATACTGCCCGGGGTGTCCATACTGTCCGGGGTGTCTATACTGTCCGGGGTGTCCATACTGCCCGGGGTGTCCATACTGCCCGGGGTGTCCATACTGCCCGGGGTGTCCATACTGCCCGGGGTGTCCATACTGCCCGGGGTGTCCATACTGCCCGGGGTGTCAATACTGCCCGGGGTGTCCATACTGCCCGGGGTGTCTATACTGCCCGGGGTGTCCATACTGCCCGGGGTGTCCATACTGCCCGGGGTGTCCATACTGCCCGGGGTGTCCATACTGTCCGGGGTGTCCATACTGTCCGGGGTGTCCATACTGCCCGGGGTGTCCATACTACCCGGGGTGTCCATACTGCCCGGGGTGTCCATACTACCCGGGGTGTCCATACTACCCGGGGTGTCCATACTGTCCGGAGTGTCCATACTGCCCGGGGTGTCCATACTGTCCGGGGTGTCCATACTGTCCGGGGTGTCCATACTGTCCGGAGTGTCCATACTGCCCGGGGTGTCCATACTGTCCGGGGTGTCCATACTGTCCGGGGTGTCCATACTGCCCGGGGTGTCCATACTGTCCGGGGTGTCCATACTGCCCGGGGTGTCGGGAGAGTTTATACTCTACGGAGTTCATTCCCAAGCTTTCAGTCATTTCATATTCTGGTGTTTGTGTCTTGATTTTCAAGATAATTGGATCTTTTGCTTCCTCACTTTCTTTATAAGACAAACACCTTTAGGTAAAGTTCACTATAAACGTGACTTGTTTGAAATGATAAATAGTAGGAATAAAAATATTAAAATATTAAAAATAAGAATAAATAATATTAAAATTACCAGGAGAATGGTAGTTCTTCTACATACAGACAAAAATTTTGACGTTAATGGTGATATATAAGAATATAACCAAAACATATTTAACTACGTAGGTATACTTATATGACCTGATATTATGAACTTCATTTCAACAACGATGTCTGTTCTTGGAGTGTTACGAATCATAATTATCTTACATAAATTAACTAACGTAATTATACATAAATACTTAACATTAATTAGTTATTTGACCAATAACTCGAGCCACAGACAGCTTGCTGCAACATTTATATTATAATTATTTTTTCTTAAAAGCTAATGTGAACCACTACACAATCTTCATGTGCACTCTATATCATCGAGACTTAAAGTGTACTCTGTATCATTCAGACTCTAAAGTGTACTCTGTATCATTCAGACTCTAAAGTGTACTCTGTATCATTCAGACTCTAAAGAGTGCTCTGTATCATTCAGACTCGAAAGTGTACTCTGTATCATTCAGACTCTAAAGAGTACTCTGTATCATTCAGACTCTAAAGTGTACTCTGTATCATTCAGACTCTAAAGAGTACTCTATATCATTCAGACTCTAAAGTGTACTCTGTATCATTCAGACTCTAAAGTGTACTCTGTATCATTCAGACTCGAAAGTGTACTCTGTATCATTCAGACTCTAAAGAGTACTCTGTATCATTCAGACTCTAAAGTGTACTCTGTATCATTCAGACTCTAAAGTGTACTCTGTATCATTCAGACTCTAAAGTGTACTCTGTATCATTCAGACTCTAAAGAGTACTCTGTATCATTCAGACTCTAAAGTGTACTCTATATCATTCAGACTCTAAAGTGTACTCTGTATCATTCAGACTCTAAAGTGTACTCTGTATCATTCAGACTCTAAAGAGTACTCTGTATCATTCAGACTCTAAAGTGTACTCTGTATCATTCAGACTCTAAAGTGTACTCTGTATCATTCAGACTCTAAAGTGTACTCTGTATCATTCAGACTCTAAAGAGTACTCTGTATCATTCAGACTCGAAAGTGTACTCTGTATCATTCAGACTCTAAAGAGTACTCTGTATCATTCAGACTCTAAAGAGTACTCTGTATCATTCAGACTCGAAAGTGTACTCTGTATCATTCAGACTCGAAAGTGTACTCTATATCATTCAGACTCTAAAGTGTACTCTGTATCATTCAGACTCTAAAGTGTACTCTGTATCATTCAGACTCTAAAGTGTACTCTATATCATTCAGACTCTAAAGTGTACTCTGTATCATTCAGACTCGAAAGTGTACTCTGTATCATTCAGACTCTAAAGAGTACTCTGTATCATTCAGACTCGAAAGTGTACTCAGTATCATTCAGACTCTAAAGTGTACTCTGTATCATTCAGACTCTAAAGTGTACTCTGTATCATTCAGACTCGAAAGTGTACTCTGTATCATTCAGACTCTAAAGTGTACTCTGTATCATTCAGACTCGAAAGTGTACTCTGTATCATTCAGACTCTAAAGAGTACTCTGTATCATTCAGACTCGAAAGTGTACTCTGTATCATTCAGACTCTAAAGAGTACTCTGTATCATTCAGACTCTAAAGTGTACTCTGTATCATTCAGACTCTAAAGTGTACTCTGTATCATACAGACTCTAAAGTGTACTCTGTATCATTCAGACTCAGATGTGTACTCTGTATGATTCAGACTCAGAAGTGTACTCTGTATCATTCAGACTCAGAAGTGTACTCTGTATCATTCAGACTCTTAAACTAAAGTGCATCACCAATCTTGACATCATAAGCTTCTTATATGACTGGCAAAGAAATTTACAGATAGCAACCAAGAAATAAGAGTCAATTTGATGTCCCATGATGTCCCATAGTTCCACATGTGTAGGGCTGGTAGTTACTGATGTGTGGGGCTGGTAGTTACTGATGTGTGGGGCTGGTGGTTACTGATGTGTGGGCTGGTGGTTACTGATGTGTGGGGCTGGTGGTTACTGATGTGTGGGGCTGGTGGTTACTGATGTGTGGGGCTGGTGGTTACTGATGTGTGGGGCTGGTGGTTACTGATGTGTGGGGCTGGTGGTTACTGATGTGTGGGGCTGGTGGTTACTGATGTGTGGGGCTGGTGGTTACTGATGTGTGGGGCTGGTAGTTACTGATGTGTGGGGCTTGTGGTTACTGATGTGTGGGGCTGGTGGTTACTGATGTGTGGGGCTGGTAGTTACTGATGTGTGGGGCTGGTGGTTACTGATGTGTGGGGCTGGTAGTTACTGATGTGTGGGCTGGTGGTTACTGATGTGTGGGGCTGGTGGTTACTGATGTGTGGGGCTGGTGGTTACTGATGTGTGGGGCTGGTGGTTACTGATGTGTGGGGCTTGTGGTTACTGATGTGTAGCCCCACACATCAGTAACAACTACAACAACACTCGCGTATGTATCTACCACCTCTGAAACTCAATCAACCACACCAATTTGTTTTCAACAAGGTGTTACCAGTAATCCCGCCACACTCACACCTCTCACCACACAAACACACGTGTGGACAGAAAGACTAATAATATATATAACATATATTTAAGTGTCAATAGTAAAGTTACCTGGTAGGCTCACTAAGACACCCTCCGGTAAGGGAGAGTAACTGCTGACCAAGACTGTTAAAACTTATATCCCGTATAACAATGTTTTACTCTTTCTCTCTTCTGGCATTACGGTCAAGGTATCCTCCATATATTAATTAGGTAATTAGCTTTCAATTTGAATCTTTTAACAAATTATTTACGGTATAAGAATACACAATTGAACATTAATTCAATTAGAAATCCCTAATCATGATGAAATCCCTAATCGTGAAGAAAAAATCCCTAATCATGAAGAAATCACTAATCATGAAGAATAAATCCCTAATCATGAAGAAGACATCCCTAATCATGAAGAAGAAATCACTAATCTTAAAAAAGAAATGACTAATCTTAAAACAGAAATCACTAATCATGAATAAGAAATCACTAATCACTCGAAACTCTTTCTGAATAATACTCATACAATGTCCAATCAAATGTCCATGTTAAAAATAATAAATAATAGTGAAGATAACAATTCATCACTCACTGATCACTATTAATCCAGATTATTCCTCACGAAATTCATGACTAACTTGCATCCTGTATCACTGCCTCCGTCAGGCCACACCCACCACTCAGTCAGGCCACGTCCACCACTCCGTCAGGCCACACCCACCACTCCGTCAGGCCACACCCACCACTCCGTCAGGCCACGCCCACCACCCCGGGGCACGCTCACCATCACCCCGGGCCACGCCCTCCACCCCGGAGCACGCCCACCACCACCCCAGGGCACGCCCACCACCACCCCGAGGCACGCCCACCACCACCCCGGGCCACGCCCACCACCCCGGGGCACGCCCACCACCCCGGGGCACGCCCACCACCCCGGGGCACGCCCACCACCCCGGGGCACGCCCACCACCCGGGGGTGTGGGAAAAACCTGCTGGGATTGATATAAGAGGAGACTACCAGGGATTTGTACTGAACTAAATTAAAAAATTACTGTCTGCAAATTAATTCAACTAAAATCTCTAGCTAGGGTTGTAAATCCTAGCTCCTCTTTTCCTAATGACAGATTGTGGGCTGTAAGGGACAGGTGGGGTGAATGATTTAGTTGATAGAAGTTCCAGTCCACCTTGAGACAGCGATATCACATCAGCTTGTATTTTATACAAGGATAAGATTTAATAAATTCAGTTATATGACTGAACACTGTACTTGTACATAGTCTAGCCTAGCACCATAACTATTAACAGCCAATATATTCTTATACTATAAACAACAATTTAAATTATAAAAGTATGATAAATGACTTTAAATGTAGTCTAAGTACTGTTAACTAAGTACTAGAAATTATTCAATTAAATGAACTTATATGATAACTTAAAAAATAACTAAGCAAGCAATTGTTAATTTAATTTATATATTCAAGTATATATGCAATGTATTTATATTCAATTTATGATTAGGTACAGTCAGCCTGACTGAATCTCTTCCAACACCATGGACACTTATGAGGTCTTTACTTATTGTGGTTGAATCTTTTCTCACATAATGGACACTCATGAGGTCTAGTGCTTGGATTAAGATTCTACTGCTGCTCTACTATATAAATAAACTTACTGAGGTATGAGGCGTTGCCTCTCTTTATAACCGACGGACAGACTTATGTGATATATACAAGAGTTGTTACATTCTTGTACTTATAGAATATTAAAGTCACACGAGCATACAATTGGCCAACTATATACCCAAATAACCTTCAATATACTTCTCTGAATGCCAGAGTGCCTGTCTGACAGTGTGCCAGATTGCTAACTCTCTTGTAGCGAGTATAGGGATGATATTTTATATAACAGCTTTGCTGTAGATTGTTGTTGTAGCGTTGCTACGTGGATTTTTCTTTAACTGCATTGCAGAAAAATGATAGTGGTGAAGGTGGAGACAAGTCACTGTGTGCTCCACTCTACTCTTTTAGATATAAATGTTCTAGGGTTTTCTTTGTAGATATTATCCAGGTACTACCCCAGTTCTAGAGAGTATTCACTGGTGATAAAGGTAACTAGATAAGGTGTTCTAAGCCAAGTAATGTTCGCTAAGGATCCGTCACACTTGTTCACTGTGTTGTAAACAAACGCATAGTCCCCCCGTAGTGCCGCGAGGTATGGTCGTGGATGCTTATTGTTCCCAAGATGCCCCCCCCCCT